TCGTGGTCATCCCGAAGCTTCGCTGAAATAAAATGGGTCACTAATGTATATGTCATTTATTAATGTCAACCGAGTCTGTTAGAACCGGGGGGCCAGACCTTCTTGATCCCGGCGACCAAGCTTTCCTATCGTGGAAATGGCTCAATTTGAAATAAAATTGCAAAGAAATACTAGCAAATAAATTAAAGAAAGTTGATGTCTCCTATGCCTAATTGAATTGCCACACTTGATCAGTCTCTAGCTGTACATACATAGTTCATCCCGCCTGGCATATAGTTCGCAATTTCTGAAGAAGAAATATCTTAAAGAAACACGATTTACCTATTTAATCCCAGACGTTGTTTCAGGATCAGTGGACAAAGTTTGAAAGTTGAAATACTAAGGACCTCCAGGGTCCAATTGAATTTTGAGATTGAATAAAAGAGGATTTTAATTGAATGAATCAATGCATGCGTCATTTGGATCTTCATTAGCTCCATTTGTTTATCGAATTGAAAGTCAGAAATTACAAAATATAAAAGAGGAACTAATAGTTTCTAATATGCAGACATGGACACTTTGATGAAAACATCCAATTACTATTTTTAACACGAAGGCTTTCCTATGCAGTTCCTACCAAGTTAGTGCATACTTTGAATTTATGGTTTCCGCCTACAGGGTATGTCAATGTGATGTTAGATAACAGCATAATTCATATTGTTAACGAACTGTATTAGACTTAATTTCCTTGAATGACGTGTTCCTCTTTTAATATAACACCTGTGAGAGGCGGCCACAGTCCATTTCACTCCTGACCTCAGCTCAGACTAACACAACTTTAATCATTCGCATAGTGAGTTGAATTAATCATCAATGTGAGAAAGCGTTCTTCGAAGTATTCCCCGAAGGATTTTTGTCTTGAAGCATGGAATTCAGAAGGAATTTCGTCTTTGGGGTTTGGTTAATGGTTCTTTACGGCTATTGTGGCTGTTACTCCTCTCTTTACTACTCCAGTACATCACAAGGTAAAGAAATTATATTTCATTTATATCATTCGCCCATCGTTAAGATATTTATATCGAACAATGACTGCCGGAATACCAATATATCATAAAAAACGTCACGTTTCCTGCTTCTCAAAGTTTAACAGCACCTTTGTTTATACTTAGCTTCATTCCACAATACTAAGAAAAGTATTAGTCATAAGTAATATCCAACCGAACAGTAGATGGTTTAGCTATCTTGGTGTTTAAATGTTTTCTAATCGCGTGAGTCTAGTCTTTCTTTTTTAGGACGAATAGAATTAAGTTCAAAACGTCTTCCAGTTACGATACGCAAAGATAGGCAAAGAGAAGTCCACTTCACCACACACAATAATATTTATACAAAATAAGCTTTAATCACGAGAAGTCTGAGCGAGAACACCCAAATATATTATTATTATCATCCATACTAATCAATAATTTACAAATTTGTGCTCATGCCATTAATATAATATATATTTGAGTTAAAATCGATTTAATTCCTACAAATCTTTCATCATGTGCTTCGACTATCTTTAGCTTCCTCGAAATGTCGTATTAGTCCAACGTTTACCGAGAACTTTCTGCCACATTTTTTCACGGAAGAATATATTCTAGAACATATCGATCGTTTTTGGCAAACCAAAGGCACGTCAAGTAGGGATGACTTCTGGTTTTCGATTGTATAGGGTTCTATATGAGAAATGTTGGTTATTTGGCTGAGTCTGATAATATAACTAAGTATTTCAGCCAACCGTAACATTGAACCTCAATTCTAACAATTTAGGGTTAAAAGCTGCTTGGATGTCTAATCATTATCGCCAGCCACAAGTAGCCCTTCCGGCTATTAAATACCCTAATTTGGTCCGAGATGCATAACATGCGGTATGAATTGGACCGTTAATGTTCATAACATCATTTGTTCTAATAGGAACAACAAAGCTCATATGCAATAATTAGTGTAAGAATTCAAAGCCAAGTACTGTTACTTGGCCAAAATTATACATCGATCAAACAATTATGCAACGAAGTTGGAGCCGCTGAAAACACTAATCCATGTCACTCATTTATGTATATTGCTTACACATCTGTTGATATATACAGACTATCACATGATAACTGATCTGATCGTTTTTTTCACGAGTTTCCATATCATATCGTCAGTCCAGCCAGCCCGTGAGCTTATGTTATGAAAAACGAGGGAATAAAAAAGATACTAGGCTCTTAACATTTAGTAATTTGTTTATTACACATTTAGGGTCGATACAATAACAAAACTCACAGCTTCCATTTTATTGTAAAGTGATATCGTATCACTTCACTGATATGTTTTTTATTCACGGCTTTTTCACACTGATATGGAATCTAAATTCATATAATAAAAAAATTATGTATAGAATTTATGGTGAAAAAATAAAAATAAAGATAAAAGTCAAGAGATTTAGATAATTTGTTCTAATTTTCGTCGAAAGCAAAATATCTAACAGTATTTTGTGAACAGTATTCATGCATTCTTCTCAACTGCCACAGTCGTGAGACAAATGAAAAAGTATAGTCTTTGTGTATTCATGATGACGACTGAGAGCTTTGAGCTTCTGTCTGACTTATCTTAATGTTGGCGAAAAATAACGAGAAAATTTTTGAACATTCGAGCTTTTACTTAATGATTATTGACATCACCTCAACACTCCGTAACTCCGAAAAATCCATAATTCCGCGTAGCCATGTTTTTAGTGTTTACCTGTTGTTTTTTAAGCCCTATTTTTTAGAGCAGTCGACTCTTGGCAAGGGAAAGGTGCGGACACAGATCGACAAGCTAAAACGGTTAATCAGAGTACATTGCATGCGTATGAAATACATGTTGAGAGTGTTTTTCTCTAGGTAGTGCTCAAATTAGTCAAAAAAATTTGTCCCGATTGTTAATCGTAAGATTGGTATCATGAAGTGATCGTTCCTTGAGTTAAAAATCCTAAATATAGTTATTAAGTTAAATGATGCCGATAAAACGAACAATTTAATATTCAAATATAAAAGGACTGAGACCGCTACCTCTCGAGGATTAACAGAAAAATATATGCATCATGCAGTGTTTAATAATTTATTAAAAAAACAGCTGTCAGTAATTACAAAAATATATTTATTCGCAACTTGCAGCCTTTAGCAGATAAAAGTGGCTCAAAACCTTCTATTGAAAATCAATCAACTGAGTTCCTTTCAGTTTTCATTTTAGATAAATCTTCTAATTACCTGTTACTTTAAGTCTCTAATACTTATGTTTACGATGTAGGGTAATAATTGCTGTAATTAGAATCAAAATTTAACTTAAAAGTTAGCGAGTCATAACAAGTTTAATTAACATGTCGTAAAGCCTGGTGTAGGAAAGAAGGCCAATAACCAATCCGAGACGCAGCGGACGCTATCTTTAAGGCTGCGAGTTAAAACAAGTTTAAATATTCCGTAAAGCTTGATGTCGGGCAGTCTAAGGACTTTGAAACTTAAGCCGCCCAGACATACTTCTTTGGCGCAAAGACAAAATCTGTAAATTAACTTTCATTTCTTGCTGTTCCTTCAATTTCGTCTTAATCATCGCCATTTACGATAAAGCCGTTAATACAATATTCATTAAAAATAATTCGAATTTGTGTGAAATGGTCAAATTACTTGTATTTTCGCCCTTGGCCCAGTTCCTGAAGTACTGCATTAGCCCTAAAGCGCTTATCATATAATATACGAGCCGCTATTTTAACATGTTCATTACCGTTTGTTTGCTTTTAATTAACCGATGTTGAGACGTGTTTGCCGGGCTAGAGATCTTAATTAGGGTAAGCAGGCGGTTGGCCGCTGAAAATAAAACTACAAGCAGAAGTGAATAACTAACGAAGTGTCGATTAATATTCTTTCTGCACATAAATGAGAAAGATAAATGTCAGTGCGAAAAAGAAGAAAAAAGGGGGGAAATGGTTATTTTTCTATATTTTTTGGTATATATATTGGAAGCGGCCATAATTTTTGCAAATATATATATATATATCAGTTCGATATTCTTTAACAAATCTCCGAGCTCCGAGGCTGACGGATGTAGTTTTATCTAGAGGCACTGAAGTAAATGGTGTGAATCATCATCCAAGATGCACCACGCAATCTCTTTTTTAACGTAATTTTTTTTAACAGATGTCAAAACTAATATGTACTACTAACACCACACAGGAACCTTTCTCTGAAAGCAGACACCGCAATACGCCATAGTTATCCATTTACCTTTGTCCATATTTTCCATTACCGTGAAGAGAACAGGCTGCCAGCCAAGAAAGATGATTGGTTCCATGCAACACAGCCGTTGTCGTACGATGGAAGAAAGTCCATAAAAAGATTCAATTTACATTATGTTATCTGCTCTTTCTTTTAAGTCATTTCGCTTATTATTGCTAATTATAGTTCATTTTACCGAGTTTGTGTAATTATCAGGTTAATGTACACTCTTGAATAGTAAGAACAAAAACCAGTATTTCTGAACGCATTTTACCTACTGAGTACGTCAAATAAAAGATGTGGCAAACCGAGTCATTAGCATCAAATATTAACCACTAAAACTGAATAATATTTTTATTTAGAACAATTTTGACGTATTCCACCGTACGTTTATTCAAGGACCTTATTCTTTGCGGTGCTAAAAATTACCAACACACTGACGTCATAAATGTGAACTTTACGTTTTAGACCACGAGTATGATTGTTAGACAATGCGACTAGTGGATGATATTCCAGTTATCATTCTTATTTCAATGAACCGCATACTTATCATTCCGAACCAACTTAAGCCAATTTTTTTAAACAAAAAAATAACCGAGATAATTAATAGCCCACCGCTTTTATTTCATAAGCGAAGACGTATTGGGTTTATTTTATTTTATTTTATTTTGTATTGTTTTTTTCTTTTTTAAAAGACTAGTCACAAGATGGCCTACCACGATCATTTTACAATTCTTTCACTTTTCACAGACCTTCCAAGGACATATCTTTTTAACAAGTCCTCAACATTTACGATTCCTGGGACAACACATCGACTAAGAGTTCTTCTTGTTGGAGGCGGAGGGTATGGATGCCGAGGCAATGCGCCTGGGAAGGCAGGTCGCGCGGGAAAAGTGAAGGTGGTTATCATCGACAATATCTACTTAAAGAACAGAACTTTGGAAGTCAAAGTTGGCAAAGGAGGAAAGTTTCCAAGAAGTTTTGCCCCAGGAAAAGACGATACAAGTAAAGAGTCTTCATTTATTAGCTATAGGGCCGAAGGTGGAAAAAACTGTGATTATATTGCTTCGAGCTTTTCGACTGACACCAGATGTTTTGAACACTTTAAAATCAGTCATGTTACTCCAGGTAATTATTATATCATCTTTAGAATCATAATGTTTTTTGAGTAAACTTTACTCACGGATTAATGATGGAGGGATTTGTCAATCTATGAACACGATATAAGACAAGATAGACAAACGTTGTTTCAGTAAAATTAGACCTAAACGCACTGAATTTTCCTTTTTATTGTTATATATGTTTTTAAATTTAGCTAAGGATGTAAAGAGCATTAATATATCGGCATGTCAAATTCAATCCCCCACCGTGTTACTAAGTGGCGATGGCGGAGTTTTAATCGATAACAATGGGCCATCAGCTATGCCAGGAAAGAGCAATAGATCTTCTGCGGGTGGTATTGGTTACGGCGCAGGCGGTGGGTCAGGTGGAAATCACAAGACATCTGAAGAAGGATGTGATCTGGTTGATGGTGGAGATGGTGCTCCAGGAGTGGTCTACATTGAGGTTGTTCCAAAAGGTATGTTATTATATCTGTTTACTCAAAGAATCGTGGACTATATGTTTTAGGTGAGCTTATTTTTCATGTTTATTTATTTATTTATTTATTTTCAATTTGAATATCTTGCTTCATATTCACCAATATTCATAAATTGAACGCTAAGAAGAGCTAAGTATTCCGTGATTATTCATAAATTCTGAAATTCCACGCCGCTGCAAAGACTGAGTTGGAACTGAGAGGTGTTCATTTCTATAATGTCAGTTATAGAGGTGCGCACCCTTAAACCTTACTTCACAATAAACCGCAGTAGACCGCATTGCTCTTGCCGTCTTTGCTAGAACGTTCTTTGGTGCTTTTCCAGGGCATAGAGAGAACGGCAACGCCAAGGACGACGGCGCGCTTTTACGGATTCATCAAAACGTGCTTACGTCATCATTTCATTTCCCGTCCTTAATATGTAAGCGAACAGGCGAACGAAAGCGTCGATATTTAATTACTAATTCTTATCATTTCTACTTAGTTTGTAGAAAACCCGTTAGCGTTTTGTTCGCAATTGCGTACTCCTCAAACAGTTCCTTCACAAGCCAGAAGAAAACCATCCAAAATATCATCAAACTGATTCCTCAGCGAAAAGTGGGAGTTTTAACCTTCAAAGACAAAACGTTCCAGAAAGTTAAGCTTAGAGAGTACAACGACAACCAACAACTATTCTCCGCCATCACCAACCTAAAAAATGCCTACTCCACTGAAATTATAAATTTCACTAACGTTTATTCAGAGGCAATATTGGCATTTCGTGAGGAAGAAGCATCCAGGAACAAGGCAAATCTGAAGGTTAGCTTTTCGAAGACATTGGTTATGTTTACTCATAGTTGGAAAAAGCATGTCCGCCGGAGCCAACTACTAAGCCTGAAAAAAGAACTAAAATTGTTAGGCGTCAAAATAATTTTGGTTGGACTTGATGAAGACCTTACCGATGTGCAGCTTCGAGAAATGGTCAATGACGATGACTTCGTATACACTAGTGATGGTGATGATTATGATCTGGTGCTCCCCATGAAAGAACCATATATCATAGATACGATATGTAGAGGTAAGATACTTTTTCATAGTTAGCCTCGTAAAGTGCTTTAAAAATTTGTTGATTTAAAAAAGAATGTTTAAGAGGACAAGAAGCGCTAGCCTACACGGTGTAGACTGCCCAAATTCCTTATCTTATATACGTCCAAGCAGCTAACAACCTTATCCCTTACGTTATCGGTAGACCCATTGTATTTCCATAATTTAACGGGAACTCCAACTAAAAGCATTACTACTAATAGAGTGCCTTCTACTTCATCTCGTGAAAAGAACGCGAATGGACTTCAAAAAGGTAATATATTTTAAAACGTTTTTCAGTATCTGAAAGCTAAAAATTATAAATACTTTTTTGATAAAAAGTTAATGATATCAATTTATATAACAAATTGAAAATTATAAATGCAAATTGTATTCTAATGTTATATTATTAGACTTTGAGTTCTTATTAAACTACGACATGAAGAAAGTTAATATAAAGAATACGACCGAAATTGAAGTAAGTGTGATCACATGTAGCTCAATATAGTTTTGAGTAGATGAGATTGAGAGTTGGAGAGCTAGGGCGCTGGCGCGCGTTTTGGCGCGAATGAGCTCGCGCTCGACAAAATCATAGGGACTGCGTCAGCATAAGACATTCCTAGAAATATTAGATTATACAGGCCAAGGTTTTTCTCCGCGTATTCCGAAATAACACTACTCTACAAATTAATTAATAGACAAAACAATAGATAAACACTTGAATTTCAGGCGACGCTGTCTGATACCCTTCCTACGCCACCGAGTACACACGCACGTGGGTGTAATTAATTAACCTTCGTTCCCAACACACGGCATGAAGACATCCATTTCCCATTAGTTGAAGTCACTACTCGCGAGTACTAATAAGAGTTCTAAGACAGTCATGTAAAGGAGAGTGTGTACTAATTTTTTTTCTTTTATTTAAACATTGATTATTTGAAGCGTGTCATGAACATTGCTGATAATCTGATACTAAACAGTCACAGAATACCAAATAATACCAAGGTATGCATGGTTATTGATTGTGTGAACTGTAGCTTTGACGGCCTTTCTTTGATCACATCCTCTTATTGTCGCTGTTCCAGAATAACTTACTGTTCCTTCGTGGATTTTTTTCAACAGACAGCTCCTGGATTAAAGGTCATCCAGTTCTTGGAAAATTTTGGGCTCCAAATGGCATCAACAGTGGCTTCATTTGCAGATGGCGACAGCGGTCCTCGTAATTTTAACACCAAACATTTAGGTATTGCATAAGACCTTGACCATGTGAATCATATACTTATTTCATTAGCCTATCTTCGGATTGAGTGATCGAGAGCAAAACTATCAAAATAGAGGCCCTGGGGACGATAGATGAATAGATTAATAAATAGACTAATCGTTTTATTGTTTCCCTGAAGCCTTGATTAAATTCTGACCACACAAGGTTACCTCATTCAACCACAATATGAAAATTCCCGCACTGTTGCGTTCTTTGCCCTTTGCCACAATTGATCCAAATCTTTATGTTATACCGTCTTTTTCACTTAAGGCTTAACAGTCGCTACCGTGAATTTGATTTCAACAACTAGCATAGATCTGTCAAATGCATTGAATAAAGGTCACGTGATTGTACCTAAAGATGCGTTCCAAGGCAATGGTAAGAGATGTGACAAATTAGCTAGTATGATTATGATAAATGTTTTTTTTTCTCGTCATAATCATCATCGCACTGATAATTATGATGACGATGGCGTAGGCATGTCATTGGAACTTGCAAAAGTAAAACTTCGTCCCCAAAAACTGTCTGATTCAAAACGGAAAGAAAAAGATATATGTTTTTTTTAATTTGACACCTGATTCATGCTCTATATTCTGATCCTATATTTATAAGTCCGATATGTAAAATATGTAGGTCTGTATGTGTATGTAAAAATTTTAAAGTACTAAACTTTAGCCCAGGGTTTCATAATGTAGGCATTCGTTTGGGTTTTTAATACCAAAATCGAACTATTAAAAAACAGGACGTGGTGAGTTTTTAACCTTGTTTCAAGTTGATCGCTACGATCGTTACGATCACTGCGATCGCTCAAAAATGCATTTCAGCCATCAAATGGTAACAACACGGCCTTCAGCATTCGCAGCGATCGCAGCGGTCATATGAACTACTCTTCGACGATCGCATGTTCGTTGCGATCGTAATGTGAAGGATGTTTTGGCCAAACATTAAGAGAAGAAATTGCTCGTATCTTTCAAAAAATATTCTTTTATACCAGTTTAATTACACGAAATAGGATCAAAGTCTGTGTTATTCGAAGATCATCAAAAAACAAACTACGACAGATTGTTAATTCCTCTCTGTTTTGGAAGATATCTCGTATATGAAAAATGATTCTGTCGTCTTTGTTAAAGCAAAGCCGGAAGACTTAAAGCGATAGATTAGAGCACAAAACTTTCTGCTGTAAGTTGATTTGTGTTTGGCGCCAAATGCGCAATCCATTTTTCCAATTTTATGTTGTCCGAGGGATTCCTCGAATTACAGCGATTGCAGCGATCAACGAGAAACATCACAATCGCTACGATCACCAACTGCGATCGCCGAAACATGTTTGTTGGGCGATCGTGGGCATCTAATGTAAAGCACGCTTGATGTGATAGTGTGAATTAAAAAAAGCCTTTTAACGAATTAAAATTAAAATTAAAATTTCTTCGTGTTCCAGGCCGTGGAACTGTGGTGATGTTATCTTCAAATCCCGTTGCCTCGATGAAGAAAGAAAAGTAAGCAGAATAAATGATTAAAAGAGCAATGGTTGATCAATAGAAAATACAGCGAAGGGTCCCCAGTGGAGGCTAGGAGAGGGGGGGATAGGATGCCAGTTTTCCAGTAGCCTACTCTTTATTGTTAATGTATACTATTATTTTTAAAAGCATAACGAAATCCTTTATATTAATGGACTATTAGCCTTTCCTTATTTATTCGGTTTAGATAGACATTTATAAAATAATCTAGTAGTCTTTTTTCCTTATTTCTGTTGTTTCCTACGCTTCTCGCGTGTTCTCTTCGTAACCCTCTTCAYGATAACAGCAGACCATCGAATACGAAATAGTCTTCTTTTTAATATTATATATTTAGCATTAATTATATATTTAACAATGCATCTCTAAATATCATACAGTGGCACAGTTATTACCAGCCAGCTCGTGTCCATCAATATCAACCCCAAGTCACCAGACGTCTTCAAAAAACCTGTAGAAATAACGTTTGATATTAACCAGGCAAGTTTCTTATTTATTAGAGTAAAGTCTGCCTGCCTTCTTTTAGGTGTTAGGTATATTTGGGGAAAATCCTCAAATTTTAAGGGTGGCAATTTCAAAGAAAATATTTTTGGAATCTAACTGCTCTAGTGATCAAAGGAACCAAACACATGAGATACAGGGGAATTTACCTATAAGAGTACTACAGTTCAACTTATTCCTCTTGCAAAAACCAAATTATGAGGAACCAAAGAGCCTGAATTCCATGCTGCAGCTTTTTCCAATAAGACCTGCTTTTTTTTCTCAATCCTTAAATAAGAATCAGTTGACTTTGGAAGCGCACTTTACCTGCTAAAAGATGTACAATGAAAATGTTTAATACGCGCAGCACATAAGGTAGCCAGAGCTCTCGCTATCGCGCGCTAGGGTTTTCTAGAGTCACTGGCAGTGAGATGAGCTTGTGTAGTAAGAATGAAAGGGCTCTGACGTCGAGAGTGTATCAAGCACTTTGTTGTTTGAGTTTCTAGCGCTTTAAATGTACTAACAACCCTTGTACCTTCTAAGGATCTATTAGACGGAAAACGAGCAAGCTGTGAATTCTGGGAACAGAAGAAACGGTAAGAAAGTATAAAAGTCTCGTTGTAAGAGCTCGAGTGGCGAATCCTCAAACAGTTGAGAGTGAATATTGATTTGACTAAAATACCATTTGCGACAAATTATGTTCGAAAATTCGAGATTTATGGCTTTTTTTCTTTATGAAAGTACCAGTCCAAAAACGTTTTTACTTTCGTTCCCTTCTATTAAAATTATGAAACTGAAAAGAAATGAAATGAAACGATTCAATGTGGCCACAGTGAAAACATCACACCAATATAAAATACACCTTTTACGATCAATTTCGAGCGTAGCAGATAGCGCAAGGAATTAGCTGTAGGTTCTAGGGGGCGGATTGTCTCTTCCCTTATCCTTCGGGCTAAAACCTTATTTTACGTAACCCTTATACAAAGGATGGATCGGTCTCAATTCTAGTCAGGTCCTACGTCCATACAATGCCTCAGCTCTATGTAGAAGTAATGTTTCCGCAATATATGTGAATACCTAGATCGAGGTGTTCTTAATTCTAGCTTTACTTCTTTTTTCAAAGAGAGGACTTCCCTCATGGTTTTTGGTCGCCAGAAGGATGTAAAATAGTGAGCAAGGATGATGCAAGTGTTACCTGCCATTGCAATCATCTCACTAGCTTTGCTGTGCTAACAAGAGTGCACGTAGACGAGGTATGCAAAGCGGTTCGTTGCACAAATGTTACAAATATGACAGATTTGGAATTTACTGTTGGTTACATTGTCACTGTTAAAACTGGAAGTGTCAAGTGTGGGTTGTAAATTTGTGGTGCGTCTGGGGTAGAAAGAGGAAAACTCAGTCACATGCTGCATGAGAATTAGAATGCTTTCGATGCTCTATGATGAATCCGGTTTATTTTTTACTAGCTGAAGCATTTTCAAGCCATAGTATTATGAACCAATTACGATTTTGAGACGACAACACCACGAAGTATCGCGACCCTCCTATAAGTTTGATCGAGAGAGAGCCGCCAATATAGACCCGTATTGTCGGCTCAGAATTACCGCGCGTGCTTGGCTTATGAGATTTGATTGACGGCGAAAACATTGGTATCTCAGTCTAGTTTGTGAATGCAACGGTTCTTATTGGAATCTCAACATCGATGGCGAAAAATTTATTTTTTACAACTTTGATCTTCATAACTTATTTCGTCTCAAAATCGTAATAAGTTTGGAATCGCGATTCTAAAGAATTTAGCACATAAAAAAGAAGAAAAAAACTGACCGAATTTGTTGATTAAAAGCGAAATTCTCCTTCCCAGCGCGCGCTTTGGCGCAAGCAAGAAGCTTAAAAATGTACGTGACGCGCGCGCGATCAACCTTTCCTTAGCCAATCAGAAACCCTAATTTTGAAACCACAATACCAATATAAGAAACTATTCAGTGAATCGCGATACTACTTAACAATATAGAAGTATTTGTTGCCTTGAAGCTATGTAGCCGCAGCTTCACATGTTAAACATCTAGACAACAAGGGAGCGTGATCAAATTTACAGAATGTTTCTCCAACAGTATATATTTTGTAGTTAATAACGTTATAACTGGTAGTACACGCTAATGTGGATTTTTTCGCAAGCAGACGCCCTCTGAAAATCATGCAAGATATCTGACTATCATTACATATGTCGGATGCTCCCTGTCTATGTTGGGATGCCTTCTTACGATCATTATACATGCTGTTCTACCGTAAGTATTCCGTCGCTTTCAATCGGAAACCTTTAGGTTACTGGAAACCTATTTGAAACAATGCCAGAGCCTTAAACACAAATCGGGCACGCTCGGTAAAGGTGAATTAATGGACATGGAGTTAGCTCGTTTCAAGTTAAAAAACAATTGCTGTCAAACAATATTTTTGAAATCTTTATCATCTGACCTTTAAAAAGATATATAGTATTAAGGGTTTTTGTTGAACGTAATGCGTAGAGAAAGTTTAAGAGAAACATACCCCTGAAGGTCTCCAGTTACATTAATACTAAATCGATCTGGTAGTTTATTGTGCATACATTCTCGCATATCTTATGATTAGAAATTACTGATGCATGATGAAACTACTACCTTTGCATAATTCCTCAAAAACACAAGGCATGACGTCAGATTGTTGCTAAATTATTTATCTTGAATTTGGGAAGTTTTTTAAATGATATAAAATTGTTGCCTTTCTTTTTAGGAGCCTGCGAACGGAAAGGGCTTTCATCCATATTAATCTAGTGACAGCTATCTTTCTTGGCCAAGGATTCTTTTTTATTGCTGCGTTGTTGGAAGGACCTAGGGTAATTAAACATCCTTGTAAATATACTAATGCTTAACAGCCGTACCATCTTGCGCAAGAACTCATGACATTTGAATGAACGTCAACCCTTTTTGAATGATTTTTTTTAAATGTCGCAAGTCCTCTAAGAACTTAGTGATATTTGACTTTTTGACTCCTGAAATATTTCGGAGAACGGGATGATGTGGTAGTACACTCGCCTGTCATTTCTGCAGGGGTCTCGGGTTCAATTCCCAGACTCGACATCACATTTCAGCTGTAGAGTTTGTCAGGTCTCTACCTTGATTCAAGGGCTTTTTCTCCTCGGCATGTGCAATTCTCCTCCCTTAATATTCCTATTTGATCTGGTTATTCCAGGGTGTAGTTTAATTTCAAAGTTTTGAAAGATTTCAAAGCATTTATCAAAGTCTCATTCCTTCAGCTTAAATTAAAGCCCGCGCAAGTAAAGACAATCTTTGATTATATTTTCAGGCCATGTGCTATTTTACAGCCGTTGCGTTATATTTCTTTTATCTGAGTGTATTTACGTGGATGTTGGTGGAAGGTCTGCATATCTATTGCTTGGTGATTCGTGTTTTCCACTCTGGTCATGAGAGAAAAAGATTATACACAGCCATAGGCTGGCGTAAGTGTTTTCTGAACTTTCTTTAGCTTTTCCCCAGGTTGCAACATATTTAAGTGTGGGTTTGTCTGTTGTGGCTTTAAATTTCAGGTTTAGGCGGGGGGGCGTGCACATAATCTTGGGTTCAAAAACGTCTATGCTATTATGCACCTTCACATCTCTAGTAATAGGGGGAAAAATCTAAATTTCAAATCTATGAAGAAATTCTTATTACAATAAAATAACTGCAAAAATTGGATGACAGCAAACTGCGGCTGGCAGGAATAAAAAAAACCCTGAAGAATTAGATGCTTTTTTTTTGTTATTGCTTTCCGTTGTGTTGACGGAAGAAATTCAATTAGCCCCC